AGCTAAACTGTGGAAGCAACATAGATACCCTTCAATAGATGATATACACACTCAGCATTAAAAGAGAATAAAATTATGACATTTGCAGGTACATGGATGGAACTGGAGAATATCATGCTAAGCAAAGGAAGCCAATCCAAAAAACAAAGGCTGAAGGTTTTCTCTGACATGTGAAAGCTAACTCACAATAAGGAGATGGGGGCTAGGGAAGAATAGATGTACTTGAGTTTACACAGAGGGAAGGGAAGGGAAGGGAGTCGATATGATGTAAGAGGATAATAGAATGAATTGGATATAATTACTGTATATGCATATATGATTACATGAATGTCATGATACTAGTTTGTGTACAAGCAGAAGAATGAGAAGTTGTACTCCATTTATGTAGGATGTATCAAAATTTATTCTACTGTCATGTGTACCAATTAGAGCCAATAAAAAAAGATGAGACATTTGAGAGTTTTATGATTGCTTTATAAATTTGGTGAAAACATTTAAGATTTCAGACAAACTTAGTTGTTATTGTGATAATGATAAGGAGGCCCATTTTAGTGGGCTGTGGCATAATGGTAAAAGCAATTTTCTTGCTAAATTGAGAAATCCATTATCAGACATGAACTTGGAATCAGCATTTCTGAAAACTGAATCCAAATAAACTGCAATAGTCAACCCATCAAATGAATAGATGTGAAAAATATCAAATGCTTTGATATCTAAGTAAAGTAATTAAAGTATTAAAAATACTTCAGCACAGCAGAACTGTGCTTTATATTCTCATTTGGATTTTATCAGATTTTACAGTATTTGAGACTTATTAAAAACTTTGTGAATCCTCTTTAAAAATAGTATCAGATATTTTGGAAATGAACCTGGCAAGTCATTGTTGCACTTTGCCTAAAATCAGTTGGAAATCTTAAATCAAAATATCCAATCAGTTGAATGTTTAAAAAGGTCATCTTTTGAATCTTTTTAGCAAATTTGTATTATTGAGCACTAAGCTTACAAACAAAATCTCTACCTACAAAAATCAAGGGACCAATTCAACAAATGAATGATGTGTGCCTAGGCACTCCAGTCTTAATTTGGAAAATCTGAAATTGTTGTTTGGAATCTTGATTGTGAAAAAAATTTTAATGGACATTTATTTTTAGTTAGAAAGTTACAAATTCTGTTATTTTGTGCAGTGATAGTAACATATCACAGAAACATATATTTTACAGTTCAGGAAGCTAAGAGTCCAAGATCCATGAGACAGCATTTGGTGATAACTTTCTTGCCAGGTCATCCCATGGCAGAGGGTATAGAAGGGTAAGGGGGACTAACTTACCCCATTATGAAATCCTATTCCCACCATAACAATATAATCCACTTATGAGGGCAGAGCCTCATCACCTCAACAAATTTACCTCTTTCAATGACATTAAATTTCAACATGAGTTTTGGAAAGGACACAGAATCAAATCATAACAGCCTTATTGACATGAAATAAAGATTAGAGTTTTATATCATCTAAATTTGGCACTACTGTAGAAAGAATCTTAAACAGAGAAAACATGTTAGCACATTTTGCATGGTGAAAACATTAGATGAAGAGAGGCACTTTGAAGGGAAGGGGGACCTATAAAAATACTTGGCTAAAATATATACACATTTTAAATAAAAATTTGAATTTAATATATTTTTTATAATAATTGTCACTGAGTTTAACAGGGATATCAGTAATTGTAGAAAGATTGTTTTCCTGATTAAAAATATAATATGCTGAAAGAGTCAACTGAGAAAATCAATATAGGCAAATATTAATTATAAAATTTAAGCATGACCAGGATTGTGGGAAATGCACTGAAAATTTTAAATGAGATCTTCTTTAAAAATATATTCTTCAGAAAAAATATCTCTGACATGAGATTAAGGAACACATGAGGTTAAGAATCTGATTAAAGAACATGGATATATTCAAAGAGCTATCATTCTTCCTCCAAGTGTTTATAGCCAATATAAAGATTTTTATCTTTTTAAAAGACACTTTGGTACTTATGAACTTGTGGAATTTTAATTGGCATAAAATATTTTATTTAAAATGAGTTTTTGACTAAAACCATTGTAGTAAATCAAACCATTATTTGTTTTAAATAGAACTGTTGTTTTACTAGAATCATTAGTTTTTAACTATACCATTGTATAGGCATACTGAGAAAATAAAGCTACTCATCAGCCCATAGAAAATGTTCCAATAATGTGTAATTTTATTGTTGACTACTCATGCTCCCCCTTTTATTAACTCTCAAAAATTTTCACTTTAAATCTTAAATTATATGGTCACAAAATATAATTTAGACACAATAATCTAAGTTTTTCAGTGGTTGTTTAATACCAAAACACAACACCAAAAAAAAAAACCCCAACAAAATGAAACAATCTGTCAGACCTCTATTGAGAACACCTTATTGAATGCCCATAAGGCTGGAAATCTTACATTTATTGATGTTGCTACAAGTGAACATGAGTCACTGAGAAAAGGATAAAGTATTCACAGTATCACCCACTTAATGGGGGAGAATATTTAATAGTTATTGTGCAAATCTGGTGGACTCAAATGATACCTGTCTACTAACTGCAAATAGTATGTATTTCGAATTTGTTATAGCATCTTGATATTGTTGAAAGCTCAGTCCCATAAGGAGGATACCGTTTTGAGAAAAAAGAAAATGAAGGCTTATTGCTTTGCTAACAAAGGAGAAAAACAGGAGTCTTCTGTCCCAAAGGCTGTGATTCTGCCTATAAGCAGGAACAGGGGGCTTATAAAGAGGTGATTCAAAGGCTACATTATACATGCTCTGTGTCTGGGGTTGTAATTCACTTGTTAATTTTGGAGACAGTCATTTCTGAGATCATCTGGTACCATCCCCAAAGTCTGGATTACATCCTTTCTTTGGTGGCTGTGAACTCTAAGAGAGACAAATCTGCCTGAAATGGGGGGAAAAAAAGATAATCCTGTTTTGCCTAAAATTAGGGAGAAGGAGTGAGAGAAGAAGAGAAAAAAATGTATTTTAAAAATGAGTTACAGGGGCAGAGCAGCAAGAGGTCTCTTCAAAACACAAGGTGGACCACTGTTACATTGACACCAGATGTGTGTACCACTATTAGAATATAATGTGTGAAAGCATTCAATATGGACAAGAAGACTGCTATTAACAAGGAAAAGATGCGCCAATGTGCATGTGCCCATACACCTCTCTCTCTCTCTCTCTCTCTCTCTCTCTCTCTCTCTCTCTCTCTCTCTCCTGGTAATTAAGAATACAAAGCAACGGTAAACCATTTATTTCACAAGTATGTGATGAGTACAAACCATATGCCAGGCCCATTTTTGAATATTTTCTATTTGTTCAAAAAATGACTTAATTTCCAAAAATCATACCAGAGGGTAAGATATAAAATTTCAGCAGATGGAGTGTGGCTGCACTTGAAATTGCATCCAGGTTTACTTTGAGAATGACTCCTAAGTCTTAAGTGGCCACATGTGTGACACATTTTATTTTGTGTCTTTACTGATATTAAAAAGCCAACATGTTCAATATCTGAAGTAAATTAATAATCTTCTTTAAAGACACAGGTATTTGGCAGAAATGCAAGACAACTTTTACAAAGAAGAGAGGTGAAACTAGTATTTGCATATTGCAGGCCCTACAATTATTGAATAAAGGAGTTTTGAAGACTTTTGAAAGACACTAGGGGAAAAAAGCAGATGAGCAATACACTAGAGCCTGGGTCACTAACCTGTTACCAAACACCTAGGGCCTTGTCCCTGATGGCCATGCAAAAATGAGGAGAAGGTTTAGAGATCAAGGTAAAGGGAGGTTTATTGCTTTGCCAGCAAAGGGGAAACACAGGGGACTCCTGTGCCAGAAGATTTGATTCTGCCCATCAGAGAAAAGAGAGGGTTTTTAAGGAGACTATTCAAAGGCTCCACTCCAGGTGTGCCCTGACCAGGGGTTCCCAGGAGCATCCTGATGGTGTGTTAGGATTAACTAGTTTATCTGGGAGATCATCACTTCCTAGTTCTTCTGGTGACTTCCCCTGTCTGTGGAGAACAGATAACTCAAGGCAATCTTGTTCCCTGCCCCCAGGTTAGGGAGGGAGAAAGGGAGAAGGGGAAAAGAAAAACATTTCCCTTTTAAAATAAGCAGCCAGGGTTATATTCCAAAGGTAAAGTGGACCACTCTTACAACCCCAGTGCTTCCACCAATCAACTTCACCATCCAAATTGAATTGTCAAGTGTGTTTATGTCCAGCTGAATATTTGTGGAAAAAAATTAGTTCTCTTTTTCATCAGGTCTTGACCCCCAAACTGTCAAGTTCCTTAGACAGACTAAGCGCCTGGGTCCTTGGTCCACTTAGGGTGCATATGACCCCTCTTTACGCAGTCAGTACCTTTATGACTGCATTGACTGCCTAGGAGATAATAGAATGAGAATCCTAGAAATGAGTGGACCTAGAACCACTCCTCATTTGCCTTTTGGCCTTTGATGTTCCCAGAGCGAGTTTTTGAACTGGGCACGTTATTTGTTGGTAAAAGGCAGTTGTGGCTGTTTTTTCCCTCAACCCATCTCCAACTCTCTCCTTGTTTTCCCCCACCCCCTGTCCTTGCCTAGTCCTCACCTATCCTAAATTTTCCAGTGACACCGAGACCCACCGATCATCAACTTGGGTCAAACCATGCACCCCTCGCATGGAGCTAGACGGGCAGAAGTCACCTCCCAGACCGGGCACTCTGGAGCACAGCGCCGAAAATCCACAGCTTCCTCTGCAGGCGAACAGCCTCGCATTGGAGATTATAGAGTCCTGAAAACCCTCGGCAAGGGGACCTTCGCCAAAGTCATGCTGGCCCGTCACGTCATCACAGATAAAGAAGTGGCAATCAAGATCATCGATAAGAGACATCTGAAGCCACATGTCCTCCAAAAGATGTACAGAGAGGTGAGAATCCTCAAGATGTTAGACCACCCACACATCCTGAAACTCTATGAAGCTCTGGACTGCGAAAAAGCACTCTGTTTGGTCCTGGAGTACGCCAGTGGAGGAGGAGTTTTGGACTATCTGGCCAACAAAGGAAGACTGCAGGAAGAGGAGGCAAGATCTATATTCCGGCAGATCGTGTCTGCAGTGCAATATTGTCACCAAAAGCAGGTCGCCCACCGAGACCTGAAGGCGGACAATCTATTATTTGACGAACACATGAACATCAAGCTAGCCGATTTTGGACTCAGCAACGAGTTTACACTTGGGTGTAAACTCGACACGTTTTGCGGCAGTCCGCCCTATGCAGCTCCAGAGCTCTTCCAGCAAATAGAGTATGCTGGTCCAGAAGTGGATGTGTGGAGTCTTGGCGTGGTTCTCTACACCCTAGTCACCGGGTCGCTTCCTTTTGTTGGGCACAACGTGAGAGAAATCAGAGACAGAGTGCTACAAGGTAGATACCGAATCCCTCTGTACATGTCAACCGAATGTGAAAATCTGCTGAAACGCTTCCTGGTGCTCAATCCAACTAAGCGAAGCACCCTAGCCGAAATTATGGGAGACAGGTGGATCAACAGAGGCCTTGATGTCCTCCAACCCTTTGTTGGTCCAGAGGTGGCCGTCTCCCACAGAAACATCTCGTTGGCTAAGGTGCAGCCAAGCAGGGTCCTGAGAAAGAGCACCAGCTGGCCTCCTCAACGCAAAGTGCAGCGAAGCGTTTCCACTCACAAGCAGACACAGTCCCTGGACCATGCTGGAACTGGGCCATATCCGACCAGCACTGCCCACAGTCACCTCAGAGAACATCCAATGGCCTCCCAGAAATCCGGCGGCAGTGCTGTGGGAGGAAAGGGAATTTCTCCAGCCAGGCCCGTACCTGGGATCACCATCAGTCCCAAGGAGCTGGAGACTCCCGAATTCAAGAAAATGCCTGCTGCCTACCAGAGCAGCACACCATCTGGAGGGAGGACACTGTGGAGTAAGTACATTTGCCGCAAAACAAGCAAAGCAGACACACGTTCAGTGAGCCGGAATGGTCAGAACAACAGCACCTTCCCTCCTCCGAGCCCTCCAGCGACCTCAACCCACAGTGTCCCAAGTACCTCCACCCGGGGCTGCCTCTGCTTCCCCAGAGCCAGTGCCCTTCGTCGAATGTTCCACCGCCAGCCCCGGGAACGCCAAACTGCAACACACGAAGGTCCTCTTGCCTCACCCAGCTGCTTCCATCCAGCTGAAGAATTGCCCCAGACTCAACGAGGCACCACTGGAGCTTTCACTGAGTTAACACCAAAACTCACAAGAAGGCCTCCAGCTGAGTCTGAGAAGACCCTGAGATATAAGGGCTCAAGTCATCATGTCTCTGCTGAGCAGAGAAAGGAGAACCAACAAGCAAAACCTCGCTCCCTGCACTTCACCTGGAGAATGAACATCACTAGTGCCATGGATCCCAGTGACATCATGAGGGAAATCCGCAAGGTGCT